CTGCCCTCTGTAGAGATGTTTCAGCACGGGGCTTCTGAGCAGGGCAAAGGGCTGACAATGGCCACACAACTTCTTTGACTCTTCCTTCTTTGTGGCAGAGGTGCCAAGAGCTTTGAGGTGCAGCCCCCCACCCCACAATGCCTTTGGGGGGGGGAATGCCAGGGTGCCAGGAGGAGAGGCACAACAGTTTGGGACACTAAGCCCCCAAATTAAAAGGAACATTTGACTCTCAGGCACCCCAAAATAAAAAGAGAAACGGCACAAAAAAAAACGCTTCCGCTGCTCAGATTGTGGCAGAGGGAGCGCTCGGCTCACCGCCATTCGTTTAGTGACCGTTCACAGTTACAACGTCACTGAAAAAAGTCACTTAGGACCGTTTTTCACACTTTACGTCCGTTGCAGCGTCCCCTGCTCAAAATTCGGATGCTCAGCAACGGGTTCGTATTTACGACGGTCGCAGGGTCCTAGGTCACCTGATCCCCTTTGGCGACCTTCCGACAGGCAAAGTCCACGGGGGAAGCGGGATTCGCTTAATGACCGTGTGACTCACTTAACGACCGCTGAGATTCACTTAACAACGGCGGCGAGAAAGGACGTCCAGTGGGGCAAAACTCACCCCACCCGTCTCTCGCTTGATGTCGCGCTCAACGGGGCTCGTAAGTCGAGGCCTCCGCGCCAACTTCCAGGGGCCCCTGGGACCACCCCCCCCCCAAAGCAGCCCACCCCCCCTCAAAAGATCCAAGGCTCTGGCTTTCCTTACCAATGATGTTCACCAGCATGTCCCACTGGCCGCCATCGTTGGAGGGGTTGGTGAGCAGGAACTGGACCAGCCGTCCGTCGATGGGCTCGTGGGCAGTCTCGATGAAAGCGTGGAGGAAGTAGTAGCAGCGCTCGACCTGGGGGTCCGGGCGGAGAAGAGAGTCAGACCTCCCCCACCCTGCTCGGCTGCTGCACCCCAAAAGTCGGCATGCCTGGACTTGTTCCCCCCCAAAAGTCCTTCTGTCTGCACTGACCCAAGCATCGGGGTTGGACTAGATGACCTCTAAGGTCCCTTCTAACTTTATTATTACTATTGCTACGATTATTATTACTATTATTAATTGTATTATTATTATTACTACTACTATTATTTTCACTGTGCCCTTCCCTTGTTATGACAGGTGGTCAGCTAGATGTTGAGACTAGATGTTTTTATCCCACCCTACCCAGGGGCAGGCCGCCAGAACACCCCCCTGGAAGCAAACCCCCAACCCTTACAAGCACTGATGATGTTCCCTAGTTGGGTCATGAAAGGTCTACAAGAAAACAACTGACTGCAGAGAGCACCAAGGACCCCATAGATCAGTGATGGCGAACCTTTTAGAGACCGAGTGCCCAAACTGCAACCCAAAACCCACTTATGCATCGTCGGGTGCCAGGTGGGTGTGGCTCATTGGGTGGGCGTGGCCCATTGGGTGGGCGTGGCCCATTGGGTGGGCGTAGCTGTGGTGGTAACGGCAGATTGGGTGGGACTAAAAAGTTCAATCATCAATTCCAACTTTGCAAGATCTTTTTTTTTCCCACGAGAAGTTGAAATGGACTGATTGAACCTTTTTTTTTTTTTTTTTGCACATGACGGTGGAGGCCTAAAGCGAAAAGGTTTTATAAAACCCAGCTGAAGGCCTAGGACTGGGGCGACGGCGTGCGTGCCCACAGAGATGGCTCTGAGTGCCGCTCCTGGCACCTGTGCCGTAGGTTCGCCATCACTGGTATAGATTCTTCCTCCTCCTCTTCTCTGCACACCCCACTCCCTTCTGACACTGATGATGTTCCCAAGGGTCATAAGTGCGAGGACCGATGCTAAGCCATTTGTCCGAAATGGTCTAGGCCAGTGGTTCTCAACCTGTGGGTCGGGACCCCATTTGGGGTCGAACAACCATTTCACGGGGGTCGCCAAACAACGCAGTCCGCCATTTTTTTCCCCCTTTTCCTTAGCTGTGCTGCTCCCTTTTATTCTATTGGCTTTTGAAAGCCAGTAGAATAGACTCTCTTGAATAAAGTCTAATTCTATTGGCTTTCAAAAGCCAATAGGAATTGTCCAGGCTGTCTCTGCCCTGCTGAGCCCGCCAAAAGTCCCATTCTGCAAACGGTGCTGCACCAGTGGAGTAGTCCTCGACTTACGACCGGTTGAGTAGTCCTCGACTTACGACCGGTTGAGTCGTCCTCGACTTACGACCGGTTGGGGGTCGCGGCATTAAAAAGGTTGAGAACCACTGCTCTAGGGTTTCCTGCCTGAGCAGGGGGTTGGACTAGATGACCTCCAAGGTCCCTTCCAACTTTATCATTATTATTATTATTATTATTAAGTCCCTTGTCTCAGTGGTGTTCTAACTCTGGTCGCTAAAGGAGCGGTCGTAAGCCGAGGACTGCCTGTACGCAAGCGAGGGAAGTCGAGGTGGCCGTTCTGGGCAACCGTACCTTGTCCCAGAAGAAGAGGTAGGACTGGCTGAATTCGAATTCCTCAATGTTGAGCTTCTTCATGAAGGGCAGACGCATCACGTTCAGGCAGGAGAAGATCCAGCAGCGTCCTGAGGAGGAGGAGGAGCGGGGGGGGGGGAAGGAGGAAGGTTTAAACTCCGAGGGAAACAGAGGAAGAAGATCTTTTCCCGGAAAGGCAAAAAAGTGGACTTTCTCGGTCTCCTTTTTCCTCGGAAAACGTTTCGCTTCTCATTCCAAGAGGCTTCTTCGGTTCTTCAGAGAGAGAGAGGGGAGAGAGAGAAAGAGAGAAAGGAAGGAAAGGAAAGAAAGAGCATCAGGGAGCAAAGAGAAAGAGAGAGAGAAAGAAAGAAAGAAAGAAAGAAAGAAAGAAAGAAAGAAAGAAAGAAAGAAAGAAAGAAAGAAAGAAAGAAAGGGAGGGGGGAGAGAGAGAGGGAAGGAAGGAAGAAAGAAGGCAGACAGAGCAACAGAAAAAGAGAAAGAAAGACACAAAGAGAGAGAAAGAAAAAGATGGAAAGAAAAAAGAAAAAAGAAAGGGGACAGATGGATAGGGCAACAGAAAAAAGAGAGAGAGAAAGAAAGACACAAAGAGAGAGAAAGAAAAAGATGGAAAGAAAAAAGGAAGGAAGGAAGGAAGGAAGGAAGGAAGGAAGAAAGAAAGAAAGAAAGAAAGAAAGAAAGAAAGAAAGAAAGAAAGAAAGAAGGGACAGATGGACAGGGCAACAGAAAGAGAGAGAGAGAAAGAAAGACACAAAGAGAGAGAGAAAGAAAGAGATGGAAAGAAAGAGACAGGGCAACAGAAAGAGAGAGAGAGAGAGAGAAAGAAAGAAAGAAAGAGAAAGAAAGAAAGAAAGAAAGAAAGAAAGAAAGAAAGAAAGAAAGAAAGAAAGAAGGGACAGACGGACAGGGCAACAGAAAAAAGAGAGAAAGAAAGACACAAAGAGAGAGAAAGAAAGAGATGGAAGAGATGGAAGGAAAGAGACGGACAGGGCAACAGAAAAAGAAAGTGAGAAAGAAAGAAAGAAAGAAAGAAAGAAAGAAAGAAAGAAAGAAAGAAAGAAAGAAAGGAAGGAAGGAAGGAAGGAAGGAAGGAAGGAAGGAAGGGGACAGACGGACAGGGGAACGGAAAAAAGAAAGAGAGAAAGAAAGACACAATGAGAAAAAGAAAAAGATGGAAAGAAAGAAAGGAAGGAAGGAAGGAAGGAAGGAAGGAAGGAAGGAAGGAAGGGAGGGAGGGAGGATGAAGAATGGAAGAAGCTTCTTGGATGAGAAGCGAAAACATTTTCAGAGGGGAAAAAAAAAACATAAGGCAAGCCCAGGTGCCTTCTGGGAAAAGCCCAGAAATGGGGTTTAACTCACTTAACTGCCTCACTTAGCAACAGAAATTTTGGTCTGGGTTTTTTGTGGATGTAAGTTGAGGACCTTCCCTAAGGCTTTTAAAACCTGGCTGGCTTCCCAGAGCCTGGGGCGCTGTTTCTTAATAACTGTTAAATGGCTAATTATCTCAGCTGCCGCCTAGATTCACGCTGGATGTTTTTAATTGGTTTAAATGGATTTAATGTTTTAATAAGACTTAGAACTCTCAGCCTCCCTGAGTTGATGGATAAAGATGGCTGGCTATAAAAATGGAATATATATATATAAAAAAACACAAAATCTCCTTTCTCGGAACTGCGGCCTGGGCTGGGTGGGTTTACCCCTTCCCGTCCCCTCCAGGTAGAGCCAGATCTGAGCAGGTGTATAAAAAGCTGCCCAAGTGACATGGCACATGGTCCTCGACTTACAATAGCTCGCTTAGCGACCGTTCAAAGTTACAATGGCACTGAAAAAAAACCCCCGGATTGACGGTCTTTCACGCTTTACCCGTTTCAGCATCCCGACGGTCGGGTGATGAAAAGGCAGACGCTTGGCAACTGACTCGTACTTATGACCGTTGCTGTGTCCCAAGCATATGACAGGCCGTCCTCAAGTTACGACATGACTGTCCAAAGTTACAACGGCGCTGAAAAAAGGGACTGAGGACCGCTTTGCACACTTACGACCGTCATAAACACCCCCTTGGTCATGCCCTCAAAACTTAGATGCTCGGCAACTGACTCAGACTTAAGACGGTCGCAGTGTCCTGGGGTCACATGATTTCCCCCTTTGGCGGCCTTCTGGCAAGAAAAATCAATGGGGGGCGGGGCGAAGCCAGATTCGCTGAACGACCGAGTTACTCATTTAACAGCTGCACTGATTCACTTGAATGCTCCAACACTGGTATAGGGTTTCCTGCCTGAGTGGGGGGTTGGACTAGATGTCCTCCAAGTTCCCTTCTGACTTTATTTTTATTATTATTAACAACCTGCCTCCAGAAGTTGTGAATGCTCCAACACTGGAAGTTTTTAAGAAGAGACTGGACAGTCATTTGTCCGAAATGGTATAGGGTTTCCTGCCTGAGCAGGGGGGGAGGGGGGGTGTTGGACTAGATGACCTCCAAGGTCCCTTCTGACTTCATTATTATTAACAACCTGCCTCCAGAAGTTGTGAATGCTCCAACACTGGAAGTTTTTAAGAAGAGACTAGACAGCTGTTTGTCTGAAATGGTACTATAGGGTTTCCTGCCTGAGCAGGGGGTTGGACTAGAGGATCTCAAAGGTCCCTTCTGACATTATTATTATTATTATTATTATTAACAACCTGCCTCCAGAAGTGGTGAATGCTCCAACACTGGAAGTTTTTAAGAAGAGACTGGACAGCTGTTTGTCCGAAATGGTATTATAGGGTTTCCTGCCTGAGCAGGGGGTTGGACTAGATGACCTCCAAGGTCCCTTCCAACATCATTATTATTATCATTATTATTATTATTATTATTATTATTATTAATTTAACAACCGGGGCAAGAAAGGTGATCCCATGGGGCAAAACCTGCTTAGCAACTGTCTTGATTAGTGACGGAACGTTTTGGCTCAATGATGGTTGTAAATCAAGGACGAGCTGTAATGGGGGGAACCAATTTACCTGAATTCTTTTGGTTGGTGATCGGTTTCCCTTCGGCCGGTACGGCGTGCTGGAAGACCTGCAGGGTGTTTTGGACAACTTCCCGGTTAAGGCTTCCGTCCAGGAAGTCCGTTGAAGTAGCCACATTTTGGGCCAAGACATAGTGAGGCTCCCCTTTCAACGCTTTGAGGAAGGCGGAGGATTTCTTCAGGCTCAATCCTGGATCATGAAAAAGAAAAAAAAAAACATAGAATAATAATCAAGGAGAGAAGCAACCTGGAACTAAGGAGAAACTTCCTGACATTGAGGACAATTAACCGGTGGAACTCCTTGCCTCCAGAAGCAGTAAATGCTCCAACACTGGAAGTTTTTAAGAAGAGACTGGACAGCCATTTCTCTGAAATGGTGTAGGGTTTCCTGCTTGAGCAGGGGGTTGGACTAGATGACCTCCAAGATCCCTTCCAACTTTATTATTACCTTGCTCAATAGTAGCAACTGTGAGAGGGGTCTCAGAGTCCTAGTGGACAATCCCTTAAATAGGAGCCAGCCGTGTGCTGCAGCTGCCAAAAAGGCCAACACAGTGCTGGGCTGCATTAACAGAGGAACAGAATCAAGATCACATGAAGTGTTAATACCACTTTACAAGGCCTTGGTAAGGCCACACCTGGAATACAGCATCCAGTTTTGGTCACCACGATGTAAAAAAGATGTTGAGACTCTAGAAAGAGGGCAGAGAAGAGCAACAATAATGATTAGGGGACTGGAGGCTAAAACATATGAGGAAAGGCTGCTAGAATTGGGTATGTCTAGTTTAATGAAAAGAAGAACGAGGGGGGACATGATAGCAATATTCCAGTATTTCAGGGGCTGCCCCAAAGAAGAGGGAGTCAAGCTCTTCTCCAAAGCGCCTGAAGGCAGGAGAAGGAGCAAAGGATGGAAACTAATCAAGGAGAGAAGCAACCTGGAATTAAGGAGAAACTTCCTGACAGTGAAAACAATTAACCAGTGGAACAATCTGCCTCCAGAAGTGGAGATCCTATACCATTTCAGACAAATGGCTGTCCAGTCTCTTCTTAAAGACTTCCAATGTTGGAGCATTCACCGCTTCTGGAGGCAGGTTGTTCCACTGGTTAATTGTTCTCACTGTCAGGAAGTTTCTCCTTAGTTCCAGGTTGCTTCTCTCCTTCATTAGTCTCCATCCGTTGCTTCTTGTCCTGCCTTCAGGCGCTTTGGAGAAGAGCTTGACTGCCTCTTCTTTGGGGCAGCCCCTGAGATACTGGAATACTGCTATCATGTACCCCCTCGTCCTTCTCTTCCTAGACAGACCCAATTCCAGCAATCATTCCTTATATGTTTTAGCCTCCAGTCCCCTAATCATCTTTGTTGCTCTTCTCTGCACTCTTTCTAGTCTCAACATCTTTTTTACATCATGGTGACCAAAACTGGATGCAGTATTCCAAGTGTGGCCTTACCAAAGCACATCTTTTTTTTAACACTGTGACGACCAAAAATCTTAAATCTTAATAAAGATAGCTGCATGAGGGCAAAGCCACACTTTGGAAAATTACTCCTGTCTTGGGATTCCTTGCTTACAGACAGGAAATACCCCAGGCAAATTCTAGGAGGCATTGCAACAAAGACATTGCCAAAGTCGGTTGAGAAATTTAATTCTGTTGCAGGAGAAGGTTTAACGTACAGCAGTGGGGTTAAAAATGTGGCATTTGTGTGGCTCCACCTTCAAGCGGCCAATAATTTATTCTGCTTTTACGGTGGCTTCCGCTGCTCGTAGGATCATCTTACGTGTCACAATCCCTTTTGTGCAGCTCTTAAAAAGCGCCACACACACACCGTAAATAACCAGGACAAAGAGCCATTCCCAAATATTTATTAACCTGTCCAACTTACAGAGCCACTGTCCCTCTGAGCCACATGGCTGATTTGTAGAGTTAAAAACGAAACACTCCCAAAAAAAACCCCCAGCACTGATGACGTTACCTAGTTTGGCTCACGAAACGTCTGCAAGAAAACTGCTCTCAGTTCAGCCCTGAGCTACAAATAATTCTCCTTTATTGGAATCTAAAAAAAGGCATCGCAAACCATAAGAATATCCCCAGGAAAAAAACAAAGAAACGTGAGATATAATTTTTAAAAAACCGCTCATAAAACCCGAATACTCTGAAAAGGAATTGCCAAATTCAAGAGCGGCGGGTGGCATATTCTTAATTTTTTTTTCTCCCCGAATTTCTGAGATGGGAAGGATGGCTCCCAAGCGGGTAATAAAAATAAGAAATTATGGAATTTAATAAATGAACCTCTTTATTCTTTTCTGGATCCATTTCACACCCACAAAAACTCAAGAGAGGACGATGAAGCTGTCACAACCACCTATCTAGCCTCAATTCATGTATAACTGGAGTCCAAAATTTCCGTTGCTCGGTGAGGCGTTTCTTAAGTGAGTTTTGCCCGCTTTTACGACCTTTCTTGCCGCCATCGTTAAGCGAATCGCTGTGGGTGTTAAGTCAGTCACACGGTCGTTAAGCGAATCCAGCCTCCCCCCACTGACTTGGCTCATCGGAAGGTTGCAAAAGGGGGTCACATGACCCCCATGGGACACTGCAACTGTCGTAAGTACAAGTCAGTGGCCAAGCTTCTGAATTTTGATCACATGACCCCGGGAGATGCTGCAACGGTCGTTAAGTGGGAAAAAACGGTCCCGAGTCACTTTTTTCAAACTTTGGTCCCTAAATGAACGGTCGCAAGCCGAGGACTGCCTGTCATTTCCCTGCAATTGGCACCAAGGCGGCCCCAATTATGGGATGGCGTCAAATGCTGTCACCCACTCAAATTACCCCCATTTTGCTGCACCCCAAAATTGTGCCTGCTGCAAACATCCCATTGAGCCCCCAAATTTAAGGGGGTTTATTTGCTTTAAAATTGTGTTTTTCCAAGCTCGTTGCTTTAAGGGGGGGGGAGACTTCAACTCCCAGAATTCCCCAGCCAGCAGAGCTGGCTGGGGAATTCTGGGAATTGAAGTCCCCCCCCCCTTAAAGCAGCCAGCTTGGAGAAAAACTGATTTAAATTTGGATGAAAAGCCACATTTTGAGCCCTGCTTTTTTTGGGGGGGGCTGTTTTTTGAATTCTTAGCCCCCCCCCGCCTCACCCGCAGAGGGAGAAAGCACGCTGCACATGCTCAGAGGCACGCTGGTCCTTCGTCCCCGCGGGAGGAGCCCTCGCCCGCCCGGCTCCCGGGGCCGCGGCCGTCCCCATGGCAACCCCGGAGCCGCCGTCGCCCCCTCCCTCCGCCGCCGTCCCCATGGCAACGCACCTGGGACGCACATCACGGGCCCTCCGGGAAAAGCCGCCGCCAACACCGCTGCAGCCTCGGCACCAATCAGCCGGGCGCCGGAAGCGGCGCTTATATAGCCTCGGAAGCAGGAAGTTGCCCCCACGACGGGGGGCGGCGGCGGTCAATCCTGGCGCGCTCGGGCGGCTTCGCGCGGGAGGCCGGGAGAGGGCGGGGCCTGCGCTTGAAGGGACCGCGCGCTTATTTTCTTCCCCGGCGCGGGGGGGGGGAGGGAAAGGGAGGGGGGGGTTGTCAGCAAATGCAGGAGGGAGGGGGCTGGGGGTGGGGAAAGGGGCTCGGCTCCCCCCCCCGGGGCAGCCTGCCTTGGGGGACTCTGGACCGGGGTCTTCTCGAGATGGCCTACCTGGCGAGGGTGTTGTTGGTGGGGGGGGGGAAGCAGAGTGGGGAGAGCCTCAGAGAGAGGGAGAGCGGGTTTGGTTGGGAGGAAAATAGAAAGGGCCAGCCTGAAAAAGGGGCAGATCTGAAAAGGGTTCCTAAGGATAAAATCTTTCAGCTCTCTGTCTCTCTGTGTGTCCTTCTGTCTGTCTATCTATCATCTATCTATCTATCATCTCTCTCTCTCTCTATCTCATCTATCTTCTAAATATATCTATTAATCTATCCCTTATGTATTGTTTGTCATCTATCTCTCCATGTCTATCTATCATTTGTCTGTCTGTCTGTCTGCCTGCCTGCTTGCCTATTTATCTACCTACCTACCTCTCATTTACCTTCTAATATCTGTCAATCTATCCATTATCTATTTGTCTGTCTGTCTGTCTATCTATCTATCTATCTACCTACCTACCTACCTACCTACCTACCTACTTATCATCTTATCTTCTAATGTCAATCTATCCATTATTTATTTTTTGTCATCTATCTCTCCAGGTCTGTCTGTCTGTCTGTCTGTCTGTCTGTCTGTCTGTCTATCTACCTACCTACCTACCTACCTACATACCTACCTACCTACCTACCTACCTACCTAAATATCTATCTATCTATCTATCTATCTATCTATCTATCTATCTATCTATCTATCTATCTATCTATCTTTCTATCTACGTACCTACCTACCTACCTACCTACCTACCTACCTACCTACTTATCATCTTCTAATGTCAATTTATCCATTATCTATTTTTTATCATCTCTCTCTCCATGTCTATCTATCTTATCATTTGTCTGTCTGTCTGCCTGCTTGCCTATTTATCTACCTACCTACCTCTCATTTATTTTCTAATATCTGTCAATCTATCCATTATTTATTTTTTGTCATCTATCTCTCCAGGTCTGTCTGTCTGCCTATCTATCTATCTATCTATCTATCTATCTATCTATCTATCTATCTATCTATCTATCTATCTATCTATCTATGTAAGTCTTTGGTTATACCTACCTACCTACCTACCTACCTAAATATATCTATCTATCTATCTATCTATCTATCTATCTATCTATCTATCTATCTATCTAATCTATTTATCTATCTACCTACCTTTGTTGTTGTTGTTGTTGTTAATTGCGAAGTCGTGTCCGACCCATCGCGACCCCATGGACAATGTTCCTCCAGGTCTTCCTGTCCTCTACCATCTTCTGGAGTCCATTTAAGTTCACACCTACTGCTTCAGTGACTCCATCCAGCCATCTCATTCTCTGTCGTCCCCTTCTTCTATTGCCCTCAATCTTTCCCAGCATTAGGCCCTTCTCCAGTGAGTCCTTCCGTCTCATTAGGTGGCCAAAGTATTTGAGTTTCAACTTCAGGATCTGGCCTTCTAAAGAGCAGTCGGGGTTGATCTCTTCTAGGACTGACCGGTTTGAACGCCTTGCAGTCCAAGGGACTCGCAGGAGTCTTCTCCAGCACCATAGTTCAAAGGCCTCAATTCTTTTGCGCTCAGCCTTTCTTATGGTCCAACTTTCACAGCCATACATTGCAACTGGGAAAACCCTGGCCTGGACTATACGCACTTTTGTTGGCAGGGTGATGTCTCTGCTTTTTAGTATGCTGTCTAGATTTGCCATAGCTTTCCTCCCCAGGAGCAAGCGTCTTTTAATTTCTTGGCTGCAGTCGCCACCTGAGGTGATCTTGGAGCCCAGAAAAATAAAATCTGTCACTATCTCCATTTCTTCCCCATCTATTATCTACCTATCTACCTACCTACCTACCTACCTACCTACCTACCTACCTACATCTATCTATCTATCTATCTATCTATCTATCTATCTATCTATCTATCTATCTATCTACTATCTATCTACCTACCTACCTACCTTCTAATGTCAATCTATCCATTATCTATTTTTTATCATCTGTCTCTCCATGTCTATCTATCTTATCATTTGTCTACCTGTCTGCCTGCTTGCCTATTTATCTACCTACCTACCTCTCATTTATTTTCTAATATCTGTCAATCTATCCATTATTTATGTTTTGTCATTATCCATATCTTCTGTCTGTCTATATCTATCTATCTATCTACATCCATCCATCCAATTTGTATCCCACCTTTATTATTTTCAAAAATCATGCAAGGTGTGAATATACCTAATCCTCCTCCCACCTCCTATTTTCCCGAGCACAAGAGCCCTGCGAGGTGGGCTTGGCTGGGAAAAGGAGACTGGCCCAAAGTCACCCGGCCGGGTTTCACGTGTAGGGCGGGACTAGAATTCCTCTCTTGATGATTGGCCCAAAGTCACATAGCTAACTTAACAACTTTTTGCTTGCAAAAGAAGTTGCAAGAGGGACAGTATTTAATATTTATTTGTTATGTATATGTAGGCGTGTGGGTCTGTACATATGTTGTATATATTAGTAGTACTGGTAATAGTAATAAATAATAATAATAATAATAATAATAATAATAATAATAATAATAACTACAAGCAGCGGCATGACAAAGAAGCAACAATGGTGCATTGGAAGATCTGCAAAAAATATCATTTGCCTGTAAGCAAAAACTGGTGGGATCATAAAATAGAGAAAGTCATAGAAAATGATAAAATTAAACTGCTATGGGACTTCAGAATTCAAACAGACAAGCACCTGCAACATAACACCCCAGACTTAACAATTGTCGATAAGAAAGACAAAAAAGTCTGGATAGTGGATGTGGTAGTGCCTGGAGATAGCAGAATAGAAGAGAAAGAACTGGAGAAGATAACAAAATACAAAGACCTACAAATAGAAATAGAAAGACTGTGGCACAAGCAAGCAAGGGTAGTACCAATAGTCATAGGCTCCTTGGGCGCAATCCCAAAACAACTGGAGCACCACTTGAACACCATTGGCATTGACAAATTTGCTATTAGTCAATTGCAAAAGGCGGCCTTATTAGGAACTGCTTCCATCCTGCGACGATATCTGTACTACCATCAAACATCCACATCTGCCTATCCCAGGTCCTGGGTAAGGACTCGATAAGTAGACAAAATGCCAAATCCAGTCTGAACATCTGGCTGACTGTGCGATGATCCATAGTAATAATAATAATAATAATAATAATAATAATAATAATAATAATAATAATAATAATAATAATAATAATAAAGTTGTTTAGGTGCGTGTCATGTATGTGTTTCACTTTGAGAGCGGGCAACTAAATTTCATTTTTGATGTGTGCCATTGTGCCTACAGTAAAAAAATGACAATAAAAGTTATCTTATCTTATCTTAAGTTCCGGTCCCAATCGTGGTTATAAGTCAAGGACTGCCTACCTACATCAGTTTGAGAGCTCCAGAAAAGAAATAAAAAAATAAAATACAATTAAACCAAAAATGCATGCGCACAAAAAAGGCAGTTTTGAAAACACTGCTCGGAAATCAGTTGTTCATTCAGTTTGTTTAGTTCTTTGACTTTAAATTGTTTACTTAAATGGCTCCCCATGGTTTAATTCCCAAAGACCTGAAGGATTTGGGGGGGGAAAAGACATAAAAGCTACTCTAAAATTAGGTGGCGCTTGTCCATTTGCAGAAAAATGGTGGCATTTTGCGACGTAAACCTTGCGCTGAACAGCGGGTTGGTCTAAATGACTCTGAGGTCACCTTCTGAAACAGTTTTTTTTTCCCGCCTTAGCATAAATCCCCAGGAAAACTGGAACTGCCACAACGCCCCTGCAAAGCAATTAGTTTTTCCACCCGTTGCCTACGCTGCTTCTCGGGAATATTAAGCAACTTTATTACGCCCTTTATGGCTGTGCACTATTGTTCTTCTCCACCCAGCATGAAGTGCAAGGCTTGGGAACAAGGCAACCTTTTATCCTGTCTCCCTTTGTAAGGGCTCCTCTGCGTGGGCGCTGCCGCCTGGGGGTGGCAGCAATTTACAAATCTGTACTGAAGGAAGGCTGAGCACCAAAGAATGGAGGCCTTTGAACTCTGGTGCTGGAGAAGACTCCTGCGATCCCCTGGACTGCAAGACGTTCAAACCGGTCAGTCCTAGAAGAGATCAACCCTGACTGCTCTTTAGAAGGCCAGATCCTGAAGTTGAAACTCAAATACTTTGGCCACCTAATGAGAAGGAAGGACTTTGTTTGCCTCTAGGTGTTCGCTGATTCGTTGTTGGATTATCTTTTCCAGAATCTTCCCATGTATTGAGGTCAGGCTGATAGGTCTGTAATTTCCTGGGTCCTTCCCCCCCCCCCTTTTTTTTTGAAGATGGGAACTACATCAGCTCTTTTCCAGTCCTCTGGTAGTTCCCCGGTGCTCCAGGATCTTTGAAAAATATAGTTCAGTGGTTCCGAGATCACATCTGCCAGTTCCTTGAGAACCTTGGGGTGTAATCCATCTGGTCCTGGTGATTTGAAGTCGTCGAGGCTGGGCAGGTGCTCACTTACCATTTTCTTGCCTATCTTAACTTGTATTTCTATTTTGTTTTTTATGGCACTATTTTTGTTAGGTTGGCCTGAGGCTGGGCTGGAAGCAGATTCAGGAACCTGCTGAATGCCTAATATCGTGGTGAGACGCTGATGACCACGCTCCCAACTTTGCACCTCAAAGTATAGCTTCTTGTAGACCCGACCTTATGAGTGTCTTGAATTAATTGTCGGGCGTCTTCCTGACAAGGCTGGGACGGGAAAGAACTAAACATTAATCCAGGAATTAATT